TTCCGAGAAGGGTGAGCACGGCAGAGCCCACGGAGGTGCTGGCCCGCCCGGGCGGCGCCTGCCCCGCGCTCTGGCCTTCGGAACTGGCACCTCTCCCTGGCGCGCTGCGGCCTGCCGCGAGGTCGCCAGCCTGGCACGGGACGGTGGCCGAGGGAGGCCCGCCCGGGCGGGACTCCGGTGAGGCTCCCGACTCCTCGCCCCACAGGGCGCCGTGGAGATCATCTTCAAGGGGCACGAGCACGTGGAAGCGGCGCAGGCGGAGTACATCGAGACGTTTGCCAACCCCTTCCCCGCGGCCGTGAGAGGTAGGGGCCTGGCCGGGCGGGGGCTCTGCCGACCTGCTCCGCCCCTCGCGCGTTCTTTCTCTTCCAGTCTGATACCTGCCTTCGCCGTCGCAGTCTAGGCTCGAGGCTGCCCCTGGCCTTTGTCCCTGAGGGACAGTGGGACCTGTTGAGGCTGCTTTGGGTCCAGGATTAAAACAGCACTGCTGCAGTGTCTAAGCTTCTGTGTGTTCCAGTTACCTAGTGCTGTGTGGCAACCCACCCCAAAACTTCGTCCCCCGCCCCCCACACTGGTGGTTCTGAGGGTCGGCACTTGGTTTGGGCTCAGCTGGTGGTTCCTCTGCCGGTCTTTCCTGGGGTCACTCATGCAGCTGGGGTCATCTGGTGGCTTGACTGGGGCTTGGTAGTCCCCGATGGTGTCGCCTACGTGTAGGTGCTGACCCAGCGTGGCCTCTTCCTCAAGGGGACATGTCCAGGCAGCTTCACGTGGTGTCCCCAGGGTAGCAAGAGGGCGGAGGGAAGCTTGCAAGGCTCTTGAGGCCTAAGTCTGGAAGTTGCAGTGTCGGTTTTGCCACGTATAACTGGCAAAGCAAGTCACAAGGTGAGGTGACGAAATAGCATCCACCTCTTGATGGGAGAAGTGGGGAAGTCACGTGGCAGGACTATGTCTCTACAGAAAATCAAAAAATTAGCCGGGCATGGTGGTGTGTGCCTGTAGCTCCAGCTACTGGGAAGGCTGAGGTGGAAGCATTGCCTGAGTCCAGCAGGCTGAGGCTGAGGTGACCGAGAGCGTGTCACTGCACTCTAGCCTGGGTGACAGATGAGACTTCAACTCAAAGAAAAAAAATCTAGACGCGTTTTCTTGTCATTTCTTATTGAATTCATTCTGGCAGAATGGAGACCCTGGAGCAGGCAGCAGGGAGGGGTCCAAGTTTTCTTTTTGCCGAGTGCTCACAGGCGCTCAGAAGTTGGGGCCTGTCAGAACAGGCCGGCTTCCGGGACGCCAGGGAGGGCTCACAGGGCCCAGCCCTTCTGGACCGGGCTGGGCCCAGGATGGTGCCCGGGCTGAGCTCGGGGTTGGGAGTGGGCAGCCATCTGGGGCTGCAGAGGATCCGCTTCCTTTTCTGTGCTTCACCAGGGTTTGTGGATGACATCATCCAGCCTTCCTCCACTCGGGCCCGAATCTGCTGTGACCTGGACGTCTTGGCCAGCAAGAAGGTGCAACGTCCTTGGAGAAAACATGCAAATATTCCACTGTAGACAAATCAGAGGAGAAGAAACTGAGAGCTGAATTACTGTCTGCCCATTCGTCCCCCTTCCCTGCCTTTTACAATTGTGAAACCTGGGGATGTAAATATCAGGAATAACTTAGATGGCTATGTTAAATTCTAGAAAGATTTCTTTTGTGCCTACTGTAAAATTATTTACTGTATTAAAAATCTTAACTGGTATTTTTTACGTAAGTTTCATTTTGATGGTAGAAATCTGAAAAATTAAGAAAACTAGAAAGAAAACAGTACATAGTACCATCTGGCACTAATCTTTATTTCACACCTCTGTGTATTGTTTTCCTTTTCTCCCCAATAATTAATTTTTTATTCATGGGTGAGATAATAAGCTTTTGAGGCAAAGTCTGTCTTTGGCTTCAGTTTCCTTTTAAAAAAGAAATATTATAAGATGTCTTCTCTCTTAATTCCTTCATGAAGTGTTGAGGATTAAATATTTGCAGCTGTAGTGTGTGTCTAGCAGAACAGATGCTTAGTAAGACATTGTACCCACATTGACTGTTATTCCCACAAATGTGTTCACATTTTAAAAAACTTTTTTGTGAAACATTTCAAGCCTATAGAAATGTTGCAATAATTGTGTTCTATGCCCATCACGTAGAGTCTCCAGTTGTTAACGTTTTCTACACTTCATCTCTTTCATAAATACATAATTATTTTAAGTGGCCCATTTGTAAGGTGCAGAATCATGACCCCACGTGCCCCAGAATTTCAGCCTTTTTCTTAGGAACAAGGCTTGTAGGCTTCCACAGCCTTTCAGACATTGACATTTTGGAGGAGTACTTGTTTGCCAGTTCTTTTTAAGATTGTTCCTCAATTTGAATTTGGCTCATTGTTTCCTGATGTTTGGATTCAGATAAGAGTAAGATAGTGTGTGTCATTTCAAGTGTCATACCATGAAGCACCGTTTTTCCTTTTATTGATTCTGATCATGCAGTGAAGGTGGTGGCTGGAAAGGTTTTTCCATCAGTTACCATTTTCTCTTTATAGTTAATTAATTTGGTGGTGGGTGTCCTTTCTTCCTGTCCAGAAACTTTCACCCAAGAATTATTCATTGATACTTCTTGCCTCTGCCAGCAGCAGTTCTGACTGTAAAAGGTTGCATTTCTAGTCCTATTATGTCTATATTTATTAGTTGGAACTCAAGGCAGACCTTTCTCTTCGCCCATTTTTCTTGGTATTGTTTGGCCTCATAGATTCTTTTGAAATTTAATGTTACTCATATTGATGCTCAAAATTACCTGATTAGGCCATTGGGAGCTCCTTTAATCTGGCTCCCCAGATCCTTTTGATATGTTCCGGTCATTTTTTGAGTACTACTTAGTTTTCTAACTCAGGATAATAGCTCACCACTGGAATCAACAATGTCTCCAAGGAGTTTTGGTTTGTCAGTAGATAAAACTGTAAAACTGTACTAGCTGCTCACACTGATACTGGAGTACCACTGCTTTGTGGTAGACAGAACTAGAAAAATGTATACACATGTGTGCTTGGCACATACAACTAGGATGCCAAAAAACACGTATACACATCTTTAAGAGCCATTATCTATTACTTTTAGTTTGCCATAATCAGAATGTCGGGAGGCTGAGGGGAATCATTTGGGGCACCTCTTGTAGTTGCAGAAGTCAAATGCGACTTGCATTCGTCTTTTGTTACTGGTATATATTACAATTTTAATAGTTTTTTCCTTTCTTAAAATGTGTATACATGTTTTTGGCGCCCTCTGTATATGTCAGTCATGCGTTCATATGGAAACTTTGGATTCCAACCCAGCACCATGAGTTCTTTGCCTTCTCTCATTCCAGATTTATGTCTTTGCTCCCAGAAACAAACCTGGCTCTTATCTTGAATATATTTAACTCATTTGCACAAAGCTTCAATAAACACAAATTTCAGAATCACTACAACTGTATCAACAATAAGCCTTCTAAAGTCAAATTCAAGACTTTTTGTAGATTTTTTGCCTTTAAACTCAAAAGTACGTGGATAAGTTACTTGAATTAGTGACTGAATGGCTATGTTGAGTTCTTTTGGTACACTTCTTTCAAGTTTTCCCCCATCCTTTTAAATTTTATTTTACTAGGTACGTAAAGTGTTACCAGTTTTACCAGAACTGGAGAGTGAGAGTTGTCTGAGCATAAGGCCCAACCACTGAGTTGGGCCCAGGATGCCCTGGGGTGGGAGCCCAGGGCCGTCCTACCACCGCTTTCCCCTTGTTCCAGGTCTGTAAGCTCTGCTTGGAGGGTGCGTCGTTCATGTCCCGGTCAGCTTAGACCCTCCACTCTCCTCCTTTCGTTCGCCATCACCCGACCCATCCCCCCATTCCAGGTAGCCTTAAGCATTTTTTTTTAGCATCTCTCTTCCCTCCTCAGTCATCCTAGCTGGGCTCCGAGTACTTTGGTCGCAGTCTCTGCACTGATCTCTGTGGCTCCCCCGAAGCTGGAAATCCTGCTCTCAACTACCAGGACTAACCCCAGGCCAAGGTTTTGTTGCATTCCTGCTCCAGCACTTCAGAGGCTAGCTCCCCGCTCTCTAGTCCTCAGCCCACTTAGGTGGTCCTGGGCTATTCCTCCCTTGCTTACCTGGTGTTTTCTGAGCCCCAGTCCTCTCACCTCCACCTTGGCGCGCACTCTGTTGCTGTGGGCAGCTCTAAGCTGCTCGCACTGATGGGCCTGACTTCTTCGTCTGTGCACCTCAACTCTTGAGCTCAAACCGACTCCTCTTTTAGCAGGCTGCTTTTTCTCCAGTCATAGGTATTTTGTCTTCCTAAATAGGTTGTGAGTTCCTAGATGGCAGAAACTATTTGACCAAAGGCTCTTTATACTCCTTTTTGGGTTCCAGTCCAGAATCATCAGAAAGACTATAAACCACGGGAAATGGGGAAAAGGGTGGTGACAGACTGCTGGGATTTGAGACCCTCTGACAATCATTCAGGTCACCCAGCATAAAACTGCTTGGCTGATCCAATTTCTGGGGTCAGCCAGCTAGGATGTGGACCCTGCTTTGGCGATGACTCTGCTTGTCCATGTACACGTGGAGAGAGTCCAAGTGTCTTACCACGTGGTAAGTTAGATGCAGAGAAGGGCTTCTCTGGGGCTGCTGTAAGACAGTAGAGGAAGGTCCATCCAGAGATCCAGCAGGGTAAAGAAACACGAAGCTGTGAGGCCTTGGACGCTTTAGTAAGTGGACCAGCCTCTGGGACCACAGAATGAATAGTGTCAGCTGATATTCTCATTGGCTGTTGTGCAGGAAAGCTTTTCCTGGCGCCCTCACCCAAAGGCAGATTTTGTACCTAGAGAAGGCTTGTGTTCACTGAGCGGAGAGCTGACAGGTAAGTCTGTCTTTAGACTGAAAGCAGATAATATGGTGGGCTGAGGTGGAGGAGAAACTGCGAAGGTCTTGCTGGACCTGACCCCACCTTGTGTCAAGTCAGTCAGTTCCTCTTGAGCCACACAGCTAATGAGTGATGAAGCTGGGATTTGAAGCCAGGTGGATTTGATCCCAACTGTGTTTTAACGGTCCAGAGTACTGCCACTTAATTTAGGCAGGTGAGATGAACTCCTACAGGTTGAAGCAAACATGGAGGTGGGAGGAGGGGAGGTGGGAGAAGTGGTATCGTGTCTCAATTCTAAATTCTAAGACCTTCTGCATTTGGAAAGCTTTCTTGTCATGCGTGAAACCCCTACCCAGCAGTGCTGACAGATGGCCAGTCATCTGAGTTGCTGGAAGAATGGGGAGGACATCCACAGCATAGCCTTGGAGTGCCTACGTTTCTTGCAAAGTGCTTCTAGTTTCTTAGTCCCAGCCCGACACTGCCTCTGGGTACGCCGATCCTTTTCCTGGTGCTGGTGCTTGTGCATGGGATGTGGCCTGTCCAGCAAAGGAGCCTGTGAAGGACGTTCACCCACACATGGCGTGACCACTCTTGATGGAGTTAGTGAATCGACTAAGACTTCACTTGTTTGGCCGATGCAAACGCTTCATGTGTTTCTGGTTCCAAAGGATTTCTGGAGAGCTGTGGCTTTATTCTTTTAGTGAGCACTGCTGGTCCTCATGCTGTGTACTTCTAACGTCAGCATGCAATTCCCACCGTCCAAGCAGGAGCTGCAGCCACTTGTTGGGCAGTGCCTCAGCCTGGGGCTCTGTGGGATCCAGCCGGCACATTCCAGCTCCAGTAGTTGGGTTCTGTCCATGTCCTTACTGCCCTGGATGGCGACACCTCCTTTACGTCCTTGGGAGCAGAAAGATGTTCCTCCAAAAGTGATGGTTGATAGACCCCCACAGAGCAAGGCCCTCAGGGGAGCAGGGATAGAACCTTACCTGAGTTTCATCTGATATGAAATGCATGAGTGGAACTTGTTTCCCATGAAGATGCTGGTCCTGCTTGCTGGCTCTTACCAGGGAACAGGGCCAAACAGGGAGTTCCAGTCAGGTCCCAGCTGGATTCACAAGCCTGAACCAAAGGGACAGTCACGTGGGAAGCCCTGCTCTACTCTCATAATCTCGTAACCTTCACGATGAGCTGCTACAGAGAAATCCTTACCACCTTCCGTCCTCGGCTGCCTGGACAGCTCACCTGCTGACTTGTCTTCGACACCTCTGCCTTTTCTGCATAGCCATCTCAGGCCATTTAACACAAAAAAAACACGGGTGTGACTTCTTAAGAGTGAGGTCTGGCTCTAATGCCAAGAGAAACCACCGGTGACCTTCCAAGGGTATTGTCAGGGGATGACCACGCATATAACCACAGGGTCTGAAGCAGGGAAGACCCAGACCATAGGCCAGTGGCTCTTCCCTGAATGTCTCATCCAAAACTCAGCCTGGACCAGGGTTGTCTCACGCCTGCAATCCCAGCACTCTGGGAGGCCAAGGTAAGAGGGCTGCTTGAGCCCAAGGGTTTGAGACCAGCCTGGGCAACACAGCAAGACCTCGTCACTAAACAAAATTAGCCACGTGTGGTAGCACGTGTCTGTAGTCCCAGCTACTCAGGTAGCTGAGATGGAGGGATGGCCTGAGCCCAGAAGGTTGAGGCCGTGATGAGCTGTGATTGTGCCATGCATCCCAGCCTGGGCAACAGAGTGAGACCCCGACACGAACAAAACAAAACTTAGCCCGCAAGAAACTCCCTTCCGTTCTCTCCAAGGAAATCTAAGGAATGAAAAGAAATTA